AAGCTCACACTCGGTGCCGCCACAACACTTTCTGGTAGATTGTTCCATGAGTTCACAACTCTCACTCCGAAAAAGTTTGCCCTCACAGTTTTCTGGGCTTGCGGCTTCTTCAATTTTGAGCTGTGACCCCTTGTGGGGCAAGCGTCCGCCAGTTCCAAGTAAGGACACTCGACTGAGTAGTGCCCCTTGAGATGCTTATACACCTCAATTAGGTCACCCCTTGCCCGTTTGTAGTATGAGCTAGGCAAGTTCATGCGCTCCAATCTTTCAGGGTAGCTGAAGTCCGAAGTGCAGGCACCAGTCTGGTGGCCCTCCTTTGAACATTTTCTACCAACTGACAGTCCCTAGCATATCTCGGGGACCAGACGGGGTGACGGTACTCCAGATGGGGAAGCTCTTCACTCTTGAAGATCGTTACGAGGGATAGACCGTCTAGATATCTGAATGACCTTCTTATAAGACCCAACAATTTATTTGCCTGATTTACCTTCTTCTCGCAATGGCCCGAGAGCTTCAGCTCATTGTTAACATACACACTTAGGCCCTTCTCACATTCAGTCTCAAATAGTGCAGTTTCTTCATCCCGTTGGGACATATGATACACCTCCTTACCGTTAGTACGCCCCAGGTGCATCCTCTTACATTTCGTGACATTGAACCTCAGCAGCCATTTCTTCGACCATTCTTGGAGCCCACAGAGGTCCTTCTGCAGCTCTTCACAGTCCGCTTGGTTCTTGATTTCCCGAAATAACTTGGCGTTATCTGCAAACATTTGTATGGAGGAGTGTACAACGTCAGGCATGTCATTTATGAAACAAACAAACAACAGCAGGCCCAATACACTGCCCTGCCAGAATCCGGCAGTATGGTGGTACCCCGCTTGTGAGAGGTACGGATGATGATTTCGTGCCATTAATCACCACGCACTGCTCGCGGTCATGTAGAAAGTTTTCTATTTTCGTCCCTAGGGAACTCGTTCCCTTGTGGCTTGCAATCGTCTCTTTCACCTTGACAATGCAGTCAGGACAATACCAGCAACAGCCTTCATGCTTTACGGCAGTTAGCATATTCCTAAACGTTGCATTGGTCAGGAGTGAATCATCTATATCCGTCATCCCCCTGCAGTCGTCACATATCATCATACCCCTCATGGCTGTTGTTGTTGTGGGGTGGGGGTGTGCAGACTGTATAGATTTGCACGTACTTAATAAAAAATAAAGAAAAAAATACAGTACTTAGCTGTCCTCTGCTGGTTTTAACCTCCCCTGTTGCCTTTAGGGTTGTCTTCTGTTTTTCTTCTCTTCTTTTTATTTTTTTTCAGTTCACTTCGCCGTTTTGTCAGTATTTACTTGCTATCTCTATGTACACTGCATTTTGCTGTGAATAACGGATTTTATACACCCACTCAATCCTTTGGAAACACATACAAATAAAATAAAACTTTCTTTAGGGCGGTAATAGAATCCCATTAAGGATAGCCAAGCTTGTTGATTTTTTTACTAGTATTTCCTTATATTTTCTTTTCCTTTACTTTTACTTTTTTACTTTTATCCTCTCGCCACTAATCGGCTCGTTAGCCGCTTGGGCGATCGGTCACGTCTCTGATTACTTTTCCTTATCATTTATCCTCTTCACCAAAAGATCGGCTCGCTAGCCGCCCGGGCGATCGGTGACGTCTCTGTCACGCACTGTTGGCAAATACTGGGCATGCACCGACTCCTGAATGTACCTGAACTGCTCCAGTGTTGGTCAGAGTCTTGTCTTGAAGAAACTCACACTCAGTGCCGTCACCAACACTCTCTGGTAGATTGTTCCAGAGTTTACAACCCTCCTCCAAAAGTTTGCCTCCATAGTTTTTCTGGACTTGCGGCTTCTTCAACCTTGACTATGACCCCTTAGAGCGAGCGTCCGCCAGCTCAATGTAAGGACACTCGGCTGAGTAGTGCCCCCTGAGATGCTTATACACCTCAACTAGGTCACCTCTTGCCCATTGTATCATAAGCTAGGCAAGTTCAGGCGCTCCAATCTCTCAGGGTACAGCTAAGGTGCCGCAGTGCAGGCACACCAGTCTGGTCTAACCCTCCTTTGAACATTTTCAACCAACTGACAGTCCTTAACATATCTCAAGGACCCAGACGGGGTGAGCAGTACTCAGATGGGGAAGCACTTCACTCTTGAAGATCGTTACGAGGACGGACCGTCTGAATATCTGAACGACAACTATATAAGACCCAATAATTTGTTGCCTAAGTTTACCTTCTTCTCGCAATGGCCCGAGAACTTCAGCTCATTGTCAACATACACACCCTAGGTCCTTCCCGCATTCAGTCTCCTTAGTGCAGTTTCTTCATCCCGTTGGGACATATGATGCCGCCTCCTTACCGTTGGTACGCCCCGGAAGGTGCATCCTCTTACACTTCGTGACATTGAATCTCAGCAGCCATTTCTTCGACCATTCCTGGAGCACCCACAGAGAGGTCCTTCTGCAGCTCTTCACACTCCGCTTGGTTCTTAATTTCCCGAAATAACTTAGCGTCATCAGCAAACATTGTATGGAGAGTGTACAACGTCAGGCATGTCATTTATGAAACAAACAAACAACAGCGGGCCTAATACACCCTGTGGTACCCCACTTGTGGCAGGTACGGATGACATTCGTGCCATTAATCACCACACACTGCTTGCGGTCATGTAGAAAGTCTTCTATCCATGTGCTAAGACATTTCCCCTAATTCTGCCTTCAGTTTGATTTCAGCCTTTCATGGGGTACACTATCGAAAAGACTTAGCAAAATCTCGGTAAATATTGTCGATAATACCACCCGTTCAGAATATGGGTCCAAATATCAATACCTTGAGCAATTGTGTTAAGCAGGGGCGCCCCGGCATGAAACCGAGTTGGCAATCCTTTACAAGATTGTTTCTGTGTGATAATTTCCCATTGCGGCATCTCTGATAATACTCTCAAAGTGCTTTTCCTGTGTACTGGTCCGGTACGGTCTATAGTTGTTCGTGGAGTGACGATCGCCCTTCTTGAAGATAGGACTCACATAAGCCACTTTCATTCACTGGGGACCTTTCGTTCATCCGGATGTTACAAAACAGGATCTTCAGGGGCTCAGCTTAGCTCGTTGCTCAACTCTCTTAGCACTCTAGGATGCACCATGTCAGGGCCGGGACTCTTATAGACCTTTTAGCTTTGACCAGTTTATTTCCTAATACCCTCTTCTGTATGAACACCAATGTGGTCAGTGCTGTGTCGAACCGTCTGTCCTCAAACGCAGGAAGGATAATCGTATCTCTCTTGTGAACACCGAGGAAAAAAGCTGTTCAATGCCTCAGCTTTATCCTGGTCAGAATCTGCGTAACTACCATCTTCAAGCCTCAGGTCTGATACTCCTACTCTAGCGTTTTTAATTTTGATTTGCATAGCGGTAAAACGCGCCTTTGGGTTTGACTTGACCTCGATTGCAACCAGCCTCTGGAACTCGCCTTTTTCAGCCCTTTTG